GAGAGAGAGAGAGAGAGAGAGAGAGAGAGAGAACGAACAAAGCATTGGTACTCAGAGAGAACAGAGTTCATGCATAAAACTTTTACTTACTCCAAAATCTGATGAGTTCCATAGGCTTCAGTCATTCCCAGATCTATTCTCCACACTTCTCTGTGCTGCTCTGTGCCCTGGAGGCTAATTACTAGGAATTGTATCAACCAGGCCATCTTAAGCTGTAACTTTTGATTGGGAGGCCTGATGGGAGATAGAGGTAGGAGGACAGAAAGCTTAGGGAATTTATTCCTCACCACTCCCTGCCTTGCCAAGCCTCTGAAAGTGGCTGTTTAACCTCCATAGATGCTGTTCCCACTGGGAAGCCCTTCTTTTATGATATCTGTTCCTCCTGACTCTGTAACATTGATCCTTCCTCTTACAACTGGAGGCCCAGGAGTAGAAATGGCTCCTGACTATCATAGTCTCTGTGTGCTTCACCATCCCGTTACTGATTTCTGTAACCATGCCCATACCTCTTAGTCCCATCCTTTAGTTCTCTTCCATTAAATTCATTTGAGTGGGCTTTTTTCCTGACAAGATCCCAATGGATGCATTTAGTTAAGTGTTTTTCAAACAAGGAGCAGTTCAGAAACATAACAGGTCTTTGATAAATGTTTACACAACTGAAATGAGTGGGAGTCCAAGGAACACCTTAGCCAAAAAGTAGTAGCCAATGTCCACAAAAATTCACTAGGAAAGAATTCAAGAAATAAAAGGTGTAGGAGGAGACTCTATTTCAAAAAAGGAAACCAATTTGCAAACCAGGGAGATGTAGTCTTTGGTACAAAAGAAAAGGGTACTCAAAGAAACAGAGAGAGGGGGCTTATATAAAGCTCCCACCTAGGTTCTCATTGTGGTCCACTTACATCAATGTGGATGCAAATATTTGAGAAGGGCTCAGTCTTGATTGGTTAAATGCAAATCACAGCTCACTGGTTAGGTGTCCAGTTGACAAAATAGGACTCCAAAGACTGTTTATCTTGCCAATTGAAACAAGAATATGTACAAGCAAGTGCTAAAAAGTTTACTTTGTGGTTCTTTCTGGAACAGAGTACTTGTGTGACTTCACAATCAACAAATGGCTACCAGAGTCCATTATGAATTCAGGCCCAGGAAGCCATGTAGGTTCCTTCTTGGAGATTCTGTTCTTTCTTTCTGTACTAGGTATTGAACCCAGGGGTATTTAACCACTAAGCCACATCCCAGCTTTTTTATTGTTTTATTTTGAGACATTGTCTTGCTAAGTTGCTAATGCTGGCTTTAAACCTGTGATTCTCCTGCCTCAGACTCCCAAGTTGCTGGGATTACAGACATGCACCACTGTGCCCAACTAGAATGGTCTTTAAAAGGAGGCAGATACTTAGTCCTAGTTTAGGTGGGGAGAAACTGCCAGGCAGATTGCAGGAGAGAACCAATGCTGGAGTAGCCAGCTGAAAATATCTGAGAAATGGGAGTGTGTTCAGCTAAAAATGATGGTATTCTTTTTTCGAGGAGTTAGCCAATTTTAAGATTTTGGAAGTTTCCAATTCAACCTGGCTAGCAGTATTTATCTAAGTTCAACATGAGGTATTTGGGACAGCACAGACTCCATGCTGCACAAGAAAGAGGTAGCCTAATGCAACGTAGTTATCCAGGACAGTGTGAAAAAAAGAATCTAAAGATCTTTGCTGGGTCAGGTGGCACATTCCTATAATCCCAAAGACTTGGGAAGCTGAGCCAGAAGCATCACAAGTTCAAAGCCAGCCTCGACAACTTAGGCCCTAATCAACTTTCAAGACCCTGCCTCAAAATAAAAAACTAAAAAGGGACTGGAATGGTTAGGTGCCCCTGGGTTTAGTCCCCTGGTATGAGGGAGGGGGCGGGAGGGAGAGAGAGAGAGAAAGAAGAAAGAAAACAAAACAAAAAAGAAATCTAAAGACCTTTGCTGGGCTCTCATGGCCTCTGTGGTGTCATGGATGATTCTGTTCACAGCATAGGAAAAGTTTCTGATCATGTATTCATCCCAGGCTGTGCCAATTCCTAGCCAGGATACCGACATTCTTCTAAATCTAAGCCAGCTCTAGAACTAACCTCTCCTGGTAAATCTCATCCTTGGGAATGCCAACAGCTGTCATTCTCATAATCTGAGAAGTTGTCTGGATAACAATTTATGATAGAATGGTCCCTCCTTTGACAAGAATGTGGATTCTTATAGGGTGGCACTGAACCATTAATGAAAGAATGAAAAATGGGGAAGTCAAGCACCCCAATAAATGTTATCCTTCTAATCTTCCAGGAGTTTAAGCAGAAACATGCTCAAGGATATTTATTGTAGCCATATACAAAGATGTAACCAGAAGGATTTTATCTTTGTCTAGACATTTTCCAGAAGTTAGGAGCTCATTTTTAGATAAAATTATGGTGAGATTGTAAAACCAATGATCAGAATTAGAGATATCCCAGAGGTGAGGCAAAATTAGACAGAAAAATCTGAAAAGAATGTGAAGGTATTCCAGAGACAAGAACCTGAATGAGTTGTACACAAGGGGATTTGGTGTAATGGCTCTCTCCTATTAAAACAAGTCTCTGGTAAGAATTTAGTGGAAATGAGTGCTGACAGGTAGAAAAATGTTGAGCAGGCAGATGAGAGTCCTCTCACTGTCACTCAGTCTTGCAATTTTTTGATTGTAGGCCATGGGATTGCTGCATATAAGGCAGTCAGGAAGGGTAAGGAAAAAAACACAGGGGATATGAGGGGATACAGATGAATTCATTAGGTGACCTCTTGAGATACATAAAAGGGGAAAACTGAGGAAAATTAGTTATAGCTGTAACATTTGGGTCATTATCCCTTGGGAAAGAATCAAAAGGCAACACATGACAAATCCAGCAATTGGTAAGATTGCTATGGAAGCCAGTGTTGAGATATTTGAATGATGATGTTGTCCTTCTATGAGTACAGACTGGTGAGGGAAGAACCAAAGAATCCTAATAGGAGCTGGGTTGTGGCTCAGTGGTAGAGCACTTGCCTAGCTTGTGTGAGGCACTGGGTTCAATCCTCAGCACCGCATAAAAATAAATAAAGTAAAGTAAGTGCATTGTGTTCTTCTACAACTAAAAATATATGTTTTTAAAAAAGAATCCTAATAAAAAGGATCAGGATAAGCAAAATCATTTCGGGGCCCTTAGGCTCACTGTCCCCCTCAGCTATCATCTGCTTCTTATCCTCAGCATCTGGTTCTGTTCAACTTGAGTTTTTGTATCAGTGATGGGGTGAGGAGTTGACTTGGCGGGGAAATCAAGAGCTTTTTAAAATGAGAAGTGTTAGTCCCCAAGTCTGTACCCTTTAAATAAACTATATATAGGATAGTTAAGAGTTCCTACTAACGTCCCTTCCACTGGAAATGAAGGGAATCTTTAAGCTAGAGTCTTTTCCAATAAATGTAATCTCAAGGCCTTGTAAAAGTCATCTTCACCTCTTAGGAGCTCAATGTTGAGGGATGTTTAACAGAGTTAGCATTATGTTGTAGAATGTTAATGAATCCCTTGCAGTAATGAAGGAAGGTTTCTGTGTTAGTCAGCTTTCAGTCACTGTAACAAATAAATCAGATGAAAAATAAACTTAAAAATAGGATGGTTTATTTTAACTGCTGATTTCAGAGGTTTAAATCCATGGTCACTTGTTTCTATTGCTTTTGGGCCTAGGACAAGGCAGAACATCATGGCAGAAACACATGGTGGAACAAAAGTAGCTTACCAGCAAGGGAAAGCTTCAACCCAATGTGAAACATGGAAATAATGACCGACATGTTTTGTGTTGTAAAGTAGGGAGTTGAATAAAATCTAATTGCCAGATTTTAAAGAACCATTTACCAAGGGAGAATAACCCATAGAAACATGAAGTCGCTTCCTGAGGTTATATTACAGACATTTTTTTTTAAGTTGATACGTCTATTTAGCAACAATGTGTGAAGGTCTCCAATAATATTGCTTTCCCCATTGGATTATCTTGCTAGTATTCCATTAAGTCAAGTCAAGAGTAAAGGATAATATCCCCACCACCACCAAAAAACGGGGAGGGTCAAAATTCCCTTTTACAGGGTGGTTGAGAGGACAGGACAATTTGGGCCCACCCAAGGATATTAACTTTTATCAAATGAACATCCCTGGTTTTCCTATTTCCCCTTTTGGCCATCAGAGAAGTGGCTTGAGCCCTTTATAGACTATGGTATAAATCTGGAGTCTGGGAGGTGATAGAAATGGGAAACATTTTAGAGACAGTCACACATGGGCCTCTTGTAAGTTCTTTGGCAAGAACTTTACTTTCTTCCGTATGCACAGAGGATTGACCCTGGACTTTAATCATAACCAGAGCCCTTGGAGCTTCTGCTTCCTTTGCTTTCTTCCATCTGTAGAGAAGTGACCCTGGACTTTAATGACAGTTATAGGCTTTGAAGCCTGGATGCTCTCCAAGAGGACAAGGACATGGTTTTATTTTATATTTGTTTTCCTGAGAAAGTGAAAAACACTCTTTGCTTCCAGAATGTGCCAAAGCCCACGTGCTGCCCCAAAGGAAATCTATAGTCTGTATGAAGGTTGATGGTCTGTCTTGTCCTCAGCTAGGAGGCGTGCTCTGGAGAAGGTATGGAGATGAGCTGCTGGTGCAGATCTGGCTTCAGTAAGGGGCCTAGGCTCTATAACCTTGTCACAGGAGACTGTAGTATATCT